GTCAGAACTGGTTCTTATTATGACGTGTATCAAATCCATTGACTTTAGCTTTGCGAGTGCGATGATACGAATATCTTGGTCTGCTTCACTTCATTTTTATTCTTTTTCCTCGGCAGCCCGTTGCGTTGTACGTGTAAAGCATCCATTTATTGAACCACGTACGGATCTGTGATCAATATGAAGTGCAGTACTCCAGCCAATATCTTTGTGGGTGTGTCTTATTACATGCATATCTTGGGATGACGTCTTTTAGTTCGGCCCCTACCCGTTTCCATCATCGAAACTGATCATTATTATGATGCATGTGTTAGTTCCAATGCTGGTCTCCATTTTAATGTACATGGGTGTGCGACATTATACAGCATGCAGTATACCAGCCAGTATCTTTGTGGGTGTGTCTTAAATATTCCGGGATTGTGACTTGTAGTTCAGCCCCTTTCTTTTCCCTATCAACAAAACTATGTGCACCATGGATACGTGATTATTTAATACAAAGTGCAGTATACCAGCCAATTTCTTTGTGCATGTTGTGGGGTGTGGCTAATCCTGGGATTGTGTATTTTAGTCCGGCCCCTACACTTTTCCCATCAATGAAACTGATATGATGCACATGTTAGTTCCAACACTGGTCTCCATTCAATGTACCATGGATATGTGATCATTGCGAAATGCAGTAAAGCAGCCAATTTCTTTGTGGGTGTGGCTTATCGTGGGATTGTGTCTTTTAGTCCGGCCCCTACACTTTTACCTTGTACCTTGTACATTGTAGATCAAACTCCTAAACGGTCCACCAGGGACTAAACTGCAAGTTGAGGAGAGTGGATGTCTAGCGGGGGCTGTGATGTTTTTGTTGGTTTTGGATGGAGCTTTTGAAGGCTGCAGAGGAAGTGATGTTGACAGTTTGATGTGGTTGGGCATTCCAAAGAAAAATGGCTTCAGGAAAAAAAGACTGGATAAAGGTGGTAGATGTATGATGGTGGACTTCAAACTGCTTGTTGTGGGTTCTCCTGGATCTGATAGTTTTCTGTCTGAGGTATAAGTTGGCGTCAATGTCGATGTCCTGGTTAAGATTTTGTGGAGTGTAACTAGTCGTTGCATCTGTCGCCTGGTTCCGATGGGATCCCAATTGAGGTCAGTGAGCATCTTGGTCTCACTGGATTTGGCTCTAAAGTCGCCACACACAAACCTGGCTGCTCTTTGTTGGACTTTTTGAAGAATGTCCCTGTTTTTCTTGGTTCCTGGGTTCCAAGCGGAAGAGGCATACTCCAAAAGTGGTTGGACTATGGTTTGGTAAATGTTTTCTTTAACAGTCTTTGAGCACTGGTAACAAAAGTTTTGCACAAAATTTAGCATCATGGTAGCTTTGGTTACTGCATAATGAGATTGTTTTTTCCTATCAATGAAACTGATACATTGCACATCACGCTGCACATAAACAAAATGTATCGATTTGATCTGGATCACTGTCTTTCTCAAAGGACCAGAACTGCCTCACCATTCAATTAAAAATCCCTGGCTTTTTTTCTTCAAAACATGAGTCAAAAAGGAATTACTACGGTCAAAACCCTGGTAAACAATCGATCTTTTCGCCTCGTATGAATATAGTTCGAGTCGGATGGGGAATTTCAAAGTTGTTTTTTGCATGCATGGAATAACTCCTATGGGAAAAGCCAGGCAGAGTTTGCAAGCGGTCCTGTATAAATTTATTAGCTACATCAAAAATGAGACCATTACGTAAGTCTAATGGAAAAGAGTAAATGTTTGGAAATAAAATGCAGAGGTTTCAAACACAAGATGTTTCATAACTGAGAGAACCCAATGTACATCGTATCAGAATTTACTTTGTGTCCATGAAAGAATCTACAAATAGAGGCGGGCTACTCCCAGAAAATAAATGTATTCGGGAATATTGCAGTGCTACATAAAATACTGGGTGGTTTAAATATTTGTCGTCAGACTCTAAGAAAAATAAACAATATTCACATCAAATTTAGATCAAATTTATTTAGAACGTGTGTGGGGTTCTTGAGGTAAATTATACGAGTTGATGCACATTTAAATACAATGGTGGAATAACGTTCACCCACTATTTGCAAATAATATATTCTTACTCAAAAAGACGTTTAGAGACAAAGATTGACAGCCGACCAACAACAAATACAATGTACATGTATATCTTTATAGATAAAATGGACCACAGCCAATAGAGATTCTGTGATGACATTGAGCAACATGATTGGACTCTATTTTGGTTTTGTATTAAACGTCGACCAGGATAGCTACCGGTAGGAGCTCTCATGAAGAACATCTGGGCGGGACTTGTCGATCCACTTGGCAGTATAAATGCATGATGATTGGTTGACAGGCAGGTTTCATGACAAGAACTTCTAGACAAGATGTCTTCTGTCAACCTTGCAGTATAAGCTTTTTTTCCCCACAGCCGGTCACCAAACAAATATGTAATAAAGTGCACCATGGTTGCGTACACCGTTTTTGTAATTGTTTTCGGTCATTATTTTGAGGAGTAATAATTTAATTTTTGTTAACTTCAAACTACATGTATAAACGTTTATTTTATTTGCTTGCAGTTTATTTGAAAATATGTTGCATCACTAAATGATCATTGGAAACATTGGCACACACTGGAAATCAGAATACATGATGTGCATGGGCCACAATATGCGTAAAGGCCGACACATTTTGGAAAGTAAAGTGTATATCGGGCTTCAAAACATTATTATACTACTCTTTTTTTCCCCATACAAACAATGGGCGATTTCCATTTCAGAAAAAATGAACGATACTTATTTTGGTGGGGAAAGGGAACAATCACCCTCTGATTTATTATGTTCTGTCATGGGATCATGGCAGTACTTTTGCCAACCATGTGTAATTAACGCAGAAGAAACGACAGAAACTTCTCCCCTTCCACAATCAACAGCGAGTGACACGTGGTTTCAAAACTACGGGGAATACCCGGTACCCCACATGAGAAATGGCCACGTTCTGCACACGTGTGCAGCGATAAAATAACAGTACAGCTACTCGACATCGATACACACATCACAGTGGGTACCAGCGTGTCTGTACCAATACATTTGTACATACATCTACTGTACGCTGATTTTCCAAACCGTTGCACGTTCTTTTATATGTGGACAGTGAAATTCGTCTGACTATGCTGCCGACCGTATTAAATCTGAAATGGTATTTAAGCAAACTCCAGGGAATTTGGTAAATAAACACGACAGCGTTCAAGCAAGATATTGTTTCATTCAACAATCAATATAAATTTAGTATTTTAATTTACTTGTGAAACATAATTTCTGAGTTCAAATCTACCCGTTATTTTACACCGGCGTTGAAGTTCTGCAAGAGTCGGCAAGTCAAAAATCATCCAGTCAAAATGCAGACGTCTCCAGACATCAAAGGAATGTAAACACTGTGGCCGCAGTCGGCAGTTATGGCTCTGTGCAGCCGACTACGTTCACCGTATACATGACCGCGGTCAATGCGTTATGAACGTATTTCAATAACAATGGGGCCATTTGTTAGGCATTGATATGTAAAGTAGGTGGAAGAGCTTGATGTTTTGCTCGTAACTAACGATCGGTCAAACTGTGTTGGATCCGGTCAAAACGCATTTTGACCTTTATGAGAAGCTCCCTAAACATTTCACTGGGTAAGGGTAAAGGGTAAAAGGGGCAGAGTTGTAACGAGTCACTGATTTTTGTGACTCGAGTCGAGTCGAGTTATTTTAAAGAAGTAAGTCGAGTCAAGTCATTACGTCAAGAAGATCGAGTCGGGTCGAGTCGAGTCGAGTCGAGTCACAGTGTGTAGTCGAGTCGAGTCAAGTATTTAGCTCGAGTCAATTCGAGTCACAAATATTTCAGCCTATACAATAAATTAACACAAGAGAGAAAGTCATTTTTTGGCTTTTTAAATTTTACATTCGGGCTACTACAAATGGTGACACCACATTTGTCTCTTAATGAAAATAAAAAGGGGGTGCCAGCTGATCGTCATTCAACTAATGGGGACACTGATCAAACCACGTATGTATAATGTAAACATTATTCGCGAACATTCTAACGTGACATGAACAAAAACCGGCACCGCCGTAAGTCATTGCAAAATAATATTTTTCGCAAAGTTTTGCTTTTATTTTTGGGACTCGAGTCTCATTAGCCTTCATCGAGTCGAGTCGAGTCATTCTGATGAGGGGTTTGAGTCGAGTCGAGTCATTTGCTCGCAGTGACTTGAGTCGAGTCGAGTCGAGTCATTTGCCCTTAGGGACTCGAGTCGAGTCGAGTCACCAAAAATTGTGACTCGAGTCGGACTCGAGTCCAGTCATTGACTCGAGTCATTACAACTCTGAAAAGGGGACAAACCTGTGTTGTCAGGAATGGAGTGCCCATCTCTCTTCCTTTAGCAATTGGGCCAGACTCATATGCTGCTGTGGGGGAGTGCCACACCTCCACAGCGAGTCTGTTACCTTCCCAGCATTGAATAATGCCGTACCCATTTAACACCTGGGTTGAGAGGAGTAATTGAGGTAAAGCGCCTTACTCAAGGGCACAACACGCGTGGCCACTGCTGGGCTCGAACCCACAACCTCACGATCATGAATCCTGTGCTCCACCGCTAGACCACACGTACTGGGTGGAACCACATCATGGCAATGGGTTAAAGGCAACAGTTGGAGGAAGGTCAAGCCATTCACCAAACTTAAGCTCAGCCCCTTACTAATTTTGAAAAAATTACATTACATGCACTCTTTAAGGACATACATGATTTTTTCCAGTTTTGTTGCAAAACAATTACATCGCCATATATGGTATACATGTATCTGCTTGCCTACATAGTTAGTAAAATTGCATAAACTGTCAAAAACCTAATTTAAGGTACATGTAAAAAGAATATTTTTTATTCCTTTGTAGTGATAAGCATTGATGAGGAATACAGCTTCATAAGAAAAGTTGTTTAAATCTTGGTCCTACCTGAATGTTAACAGTTGCTTTAAGTCCTCTTCCAGTACCTGTGATTTGAGAAAAGGATTAAAGTTTTTCATGTGGTTTCAAAGAATCATTTATTAAGTACCTACATGTAAGACAGTTTACCAATTCCTATTGGTTGAGAGCCCATCACGTGGCTGGTCTTTAACGGTTGATAAAATACCGGCTGGCTGGTTTTAAACACTTTTCTGGTGTCACATGAATTTGGACTCCTGTGAAATCTGGTCCCTATTATTGTTTGAACGTTCGCAATTTTCACTTAGGCATGCACAATGCTACCAATGAGTCAGTATTTCAAGAGTCCTAAATTCACACTACACCAGCATTGCCCTGTATATAAGGCAGTCCTTCATTTTAACATGTTTAAAGGAGTACGATCGCGCAGGCGCTCCTACTGCGCTTCTCGACTGTCTCGAAGGAGCGCAAAAAATAAATCCAAGCAAGGGCTCATCAAACAGATCTTTGCACGCTAATACACAGAACTTGATCTCTCTTGTCTACATGTATGTATGTATTTCTCGTGTTCATGAATTTATTTCAAGGAAGTACTACTGGTATATGAAGTGATATAATGCAGTGTGTTTCCCCAAAATCTCCTACTGTAAAACAAGGTTCATCGCCCACCACACACAGTGCATCACGTATGCTCACACGACGCCATGTGCGGACATTGTTAGCCAGTTCCCTTCGTGACTAGCGTTGTGTATAATGGTATACACGACCTGCATTTTCCATTATTTTTAAGATTATCGACGCAAATATTTTCGATAATAATTAAGGCAAGTTTTTGTCACTTTTTGCAGCCCTTTTTTGTATAGCTTTCATGGTTCAACAAAAATAGTTCAGGCAGAAAACTTGCATATAATTTCAACGAATCTAAAAACAAATATTCAGTTGCTTTATGTGCCATTTATAACTCCATTTTCTAAGTATACCGGTAAATAAGTAATGAACCTACTGACAACTGTATTAAATATTGAAAGCGTAAGCAGTAGTCAAACCTTTTATTCATCTCCATTTAGTTTCTTTTTATTTGATAAATTTTGCCTTGTCTTACGTGTACACAAAACGAAAGAAATACAGCCACTTGAACATATTATTATGCAAAAACTAAAAATAATGCAGCCCTTTGAATAAATCCTGATATTCAAAACCAAAAAAAACAACAATGTTAACCCGTCGTTTCACCGCTGTTTATCCATGGATTTTAAGGAGAGCGATTTGCTCTCCTCAGAGATTTGGAGGAGAGCGATTTATAGCTCTGCTGGATTTTCCTTAAATGAAGGACTGATAAGGAGTTTTTTGGACTTGCGAGAGGCATACCATAACTAGAGGGGTGTTTCTAGAGAACTACAGTACATCATTTGTTGATTAACGTTTATCTGTTGGTATTATTTTGTATCCTGTTTGTTTCAGACGCTGTTGTCATTGTTTGAGGACAATTTTATGTAGGAAGGCATATGGCGTCACACTTACATGTATTTATTTTATTAAACGTGAAGTAAACTTCAATTGATAATTGGCTGTTTAGGCAACTTGCCGAAACAGACTTTGTTTTCGTTAGGATTTTTGAGTGGTCGGGTACAACCCGACCACTCTTTGGATTTGTTGCGATTAATCTTTCCTTCTTTCTTTCTTTTTTTTTCTTTTCGTATAGCACGTTTCTGCGGATTTTCTCCTAAACAGTATATGATATGAACTTGTAACTTGTAACATATATTGACCCTCATTCCGAGTAGTGCATATTACAATGACGTCATGATGACGTCATGATGACGTCATCGGGTGTCAAATTACACGCGATTTTCGTTGAAAAAATGACGATCTTCTTTCATCTATAACTCTTCAACAAAATGATCAATTATGCTCCAACCTTGTAATCAGATAGACTATGAATTGATAAACATTTTTTGTCGTGTACATAAACTCGGAAGGTCAAAGTTAGGTGAATTCAAAATGAAGACATTAGCCTGAAATCGAAACAAAGCACAATTTCTTCCAAACGGTTTACGGTATGATCATAAAACCTAGTGTGAACTTGTACCATGTTACGAAGATGTTATAAATGTTGTTACGTCATTATGACGTCATCAGGGATCAAATTACAAGCGATTTGATTGCACAATTTGACAAAATACTTTGACCTATATCTATTAAACTAAATAGAGTATCGTGTTCGTTTTTTTCGTGAGGTTGTAGACAGTGCCTTGAGCAACATTTCTTATTTCCGGGCACAAAACTGCTTGACCTTTACTTCCGGTGTTACCGGAAGTGCAACAGAAACTGAATCTAACTCTTTAAACGGAAGCGTTTTACTACAGACAAATATGTTATGGAAGAGTTAAATGAGGAATGCCAATCACAAAAACATAATTTTGACGTCATTCCACTAAAGGGCGCCCTCTAGCGGCACATCGAAAACCGTTTAATCTTTAAAAATGTTACAACCCTCAATCAAATTTTTATGATATATTGCCCCTATATATCCCCTTATGCAACCACAAATGAATTTGCAAGGTTTCATAATCATGACATCATCAGACCGGATGTTACTGTAGGGAGAATTCAACAATGATCATTTTATTTTGAATTTAAATCCATCGTTTGATCCCCGTCTCATGACTTTTTTGCCCCCCAAAAAATGACATCTGTTACACTTAATATTGACCTTTTGCTTCCAAATACTGTGACGTCATCAAACCGGAAGTTATCTGTTATTATTACATACACTTAATTTCCATATTTCCATGCGTTATTTTTACTAAATAATAAACAAGTGTCCTCCCTTCCCTTTTTTGACTGATGACGCCATTAAACCAGAAAATAACTTGTACGTGTTGCTAACTGTTTACTGAAATTTATTATACCTTAAAAAACGCATTCTTTTTATACAAAATAATTGGTACTGGAAATGTTGAAGTTCTTGGTCCTTTTTTTTCTGACATAAACATATTCATAACTTAATTGGACAATGTCTAATGAAATGGTTGTCTACCCGACCACTCTGCGTTTGTAACAACAAACGCGAACCTCTAGTTTTTTCTTTTTCAGTCATTTTGCCCATATTTTGTACACGTTTTTTTTGTCCAGGGCACTTTGGCCACTAAAATCAATCCGATTGCCTTTATACTCGGCGCACACTTAGACCAGAACCTGCAGTTGTGCCCCGAACATTTACGTCATCATGTCTTCATTACGTGTCACGTGACGTCACATTTAATGTGCATAATTTGAAGGTCTATCTAGAACTACAGAACTACAGGTCAGATTGGATCCAAAGTTGGTATGCACCTAGACCGGGACGTGTTATAGACGAAAAATGAAGAAACGTCACGATGACATCATCAATGGTCACGTGACGTCACGCTAAAGATTAATAGATTTAATCTTTGGAAATCAATATAAAATCAACTGTGAAAGACCTGAACATAACTTTGGCGGCAGTTGATAGAATAATCCAGGGTCTTCATTTTTAATATTACGTGCAAAATCACGTGACCCTTCCTTCCGGTTGAAACCAGAAGTGCCTTGTAGTTTAAAATTGGTGAAAGATGTAAACTTGCTTTCAACAAATGTACCATGCTCTGGCTAAGTTGTTCTGTACGAAATAAATTATAGTTATAGATGAACATTGATGTGACGTCATTATGATGCCATCACGTGACATGTGACATCATAATTCAAAGCCATGAGAATGTAATAACATGATATTCCAACATCTATTATAAACAGAACTACACATCCTTCCTGGATGGAACTTATACTTGCAACTTTACATGTCACGACACAAAAAAAGTTTTCGAAACAGCCCTGTGTTTGTCCACAAACATAAGTCTAGTTTTTGACTTGTATTTATGGTATTTATGAATGGGAATCATTTTGTGCTTGGACAGTCTGTTTAAGACTGCGTCGATAATGTCCCTCACTTTCAGCTCGGGCCATTATCGGCGTCCATTCCCCAAACCAGTCTTAAACAGACTTGTTTAAAACTGGCCAAGCACATATTTATTCCCTTTGTCACAAATATCTAGAATGTGCACATGTGTAGTAAAGATGCACCATTATAAATACAATGCAACCAGTCATATGTAAAGAATATTTAAAACCCTCTTTCTGTTTTGCATGGGAACAAGCTATATGTATGATCAAACGTAAAAGATGAGTTAGCATGGTCCATTTTTACCAATACGCAAAAAAGTTTATAAATATACAAATACATGGCCATGTTCACAATCAGTGTTGTAACTTTGAAATGTTGAGGTTTTGGTCTGTATGTTTTTTAACCAGTGGATAGCATCCTTAGATTTGTGGTCAGACAACTATCCTGGGTAAAGGCTACCTGGAGTAGTTTAATGAACCCCATAAAATAAGGAGACAAAAAGTCAAGCTATTTTGGGTACCGGTACATTAATGGAGAACCATTTATTCTAAGGCTAGTTGGGAAGAAAATTGTTGACGTCAGTACTGCTGCGGCTTGATCAGAATGAAGCTGATCTCACTTATCTTAACAATATAAACCCATTGCATGCCACATTAAACAATACAAACTTATGTAGGGATTCAGGATCTATGATCATTTAATTGTGTTGTGACACTAAGATTATTGTGTTAGTTTTCCTTTGTAGATCGTTGTAGCTGTAGTCCTCGAGGAACAACTCTTACAACATTATTTTGACTTCAGCCAATTGAGTACTGCACGGTGAGTCCAAAGGGCACCCCCGTGTGGCAGAGACGGGCTATGTTAATCTCCCGTCCCCGTCACCGGTCGTGCTTCGACCACCGTTTAACAGGTAAACTTTCAACAGTTTTTCATATATTTTAAGTGTAATATGTCATATTATTTTAAACATGTTAATCCCGAAAAACTAAGGAACATTATATCTTGGTTGAAGCAGAATATTAGCTTTTCAGTGTTATTTTAGGAGTTGTAATCTTATAGTCTTGTCAAATGGCGACATTGTAGTTTTGGTAGGAAAACCCATGGTGTCAGAAAACTGTCATAATCTCCCCCAACTATAGCTGTGTTTAAGTGAT